TTTTTAGTAGAGAGGTGGTTTCACCATATTGGCCAAGCTGGTCTCGAACTCCTGACCTTGTGATCCGCCCACCTTGGCCTCCCAAAGTGCTGGAATTACAGGCATGACCCACCCCACCCGGCCGAAATTTTATTTCTTATATAACCTGTAACTTTTGCTTTATGAAAGTTGTTGTTGTTTTGTTAGTTGATATACAGATATTAATTATTGTTATATGCTTATTAACACATGGCATTGTCAGACTGTAAAATGTTTGCCAATATGGTGGATATGTAGTGATATTGCATTGTGGTTTTCCTAACTGATGACTAAGGAAGTTGAGTGCTTTTGTTTTCGTGTGCATTGTCCATTTGGGTATCTTCCTTTGGGAAGTGCCAGTTCAAGTTCTTAGCCTAGCTGTTGGGGAACTTGTCTTTCATTGTTAATCCTTCAGAGTTCTTTGTATAATCTGAATGTCAGTCCCTTGTCAGCTTTGTGTATTGTATATATCGTCTCTTAGCCCAAGGTTTGCATTTTTACTCACTCTCTTCCCTTTTTTTTTTTTTTTTGAGATGGAGTTTCACTCTTGTTGCCCAGGCTGGAGTGCAATGGTGTGATCTTGGCTCACCACAACCTCCGCCTCCCGGGTTCAAGTGATTCTCCTGCCTCAGCCTCCTGAGTAGCTGGGATTACAGGCATGTGCCACCACATCTGGCTAATTTTGTATTTTTAGTAGAGACAGGGTTTCTCCATGTTGGTCAGGCTGGTCTCGAACTCCTGACCTCAGGTGATCTGCCCACCTCAGCCTTCCAAAGTGCTGGGATTACAGGCATGAGCCACCGTGACCAGCCCACTCACTCTTTTCTGATGAACAGAAATTGCTTTTTAAAATGTCTGATCATTATCATTTTTCTCTTATGGTGTATACTCTCTTTATCTTATTCAAATCTTTGCTTATCCCCAAAGGATGAAGATATTCTGTATTTTCATCTATATTTATCTATCACATTTAGGTATATAAACCTGGAAATGATTTTTGTGTATGTCATGAGGGGAAATCATGATTTGTTTTCCTCATATAAATTCAGTTGACCTGGCACCCTGTATATTGAAAGACCATCCTTTCTTCCATGCTATTTGCTCTGAAATCTACTGTATCTGATATTAGAGCCACCTGAACATTATTTTGATTATGATTTGCATGGTATATCTTTTGCTATCCTTTTACTTTTAAGCTTCCTATACCACTATATTGGGGGGAAACTGACACCTTGAAAATTATCAGCCTTTCATCCCAAGAATGTGATAAATTATTTCATTTGTTTAAGTCTTCTTTAATGATTTGTAGTAATTAATATAAAGACATTGTACAGGCCGGGCACAGTGGCTCACACCTGTAATCCCGGCACGTTGGGAGGCTGAGGCCGGTGGATCACCTGAGGTCAGGAGTTCGAGACCAACCTGAACAATATGGTGAAACCCCCGTCTCTATTAAAAATACAAAAATTAGCTTGACATGGTGGCTGGTACCTGTAGTCCCAGCTACTTGGGAGTCTGAGACAGGGGAATTACTTGAACCCAGGAGGCGGAAGTTGCAGTGAGCCGAGATTGTGTCACTGCACTCCATCCTGGGTGACAGAGTGAGACTCTGTCTCAAAAACAAACAAACAAAAAGACATTGTACATTACATATATTGTTAGATTTAGTTATAGGAATTTGAATTTTTCCTGCTAAGTGCTGTCATTTTAAATTTAAATTTCCTACTTTTTGCTTGTATGTTGAAATTTAGTTGACATTTTGCCCTGTTTGACTTACATTTGTATTCACATTTTTTTTGTTTTGTTTTGTTTTGTTTAGACAAGGTCATTCTTCTGCTTAGTCTGGCCTCAAACTCCTGGCCTCAAGCAATCCTCCTGCCCTGGCTGTACTCTTAAACATTTCTAAATTTCTTCCCCTTGATTTTCAGCTTGAAATGACACTCTTTATCTCTCAGTTATCACAAATGAGGCAATCAGTAAGCTAGAGCTAGTCTATTTTCTATTCTCTAATCTTCATTTCTATATTAGTTATCTATTGCTGTAAAACATATTACCCTAAAATAGCAATAAATATTTATTATCTTAACACCATTTTTTGTGGATCAGGAGTTCAGGAGTGGCTTACCTGGGAAGTTCTGGCTCGGGGTCTCTTGAGGTTGCAGTCACACTCTTGGCCAGGGCTGCTATCAACTGGGACCAGAGGATCACCTTCCAACATGGCTCTCATGTGGCTATTGGCAATAGACCTCAGTTTCTCACCATCTGGACCTCTCCATGCGGCTTCTTAAGTGTCCCTTTGACATGTCAACTGGCTTTCTCCAGAGCATAAGGTGGAAGCCACAGTATCTTTTATAATCTGTCTCATACTCTATCATTTCCACAGTACCTTATTGGTATACAAGTTAATCCTATTCAGTATAGGAGGCAGATACACAGTGTTGTAAATACCACATACTGGGTACCTTTGGGGCTATCCAGGATGCTGGCTACCATAATTCCACTCTATTTTATTTAGATTTGCATTTAAATATGTTCAGCATCATTACTATTGTTTTGCTGAAACTTTCACTATTGTCTCTTTTGTGGCTGGAATATGTCTTCTAGTAGTTTCTTCTCAAAGAGCGCATATCAACAGTATTTCCTAAGTTGTGTCATATCAAAGGATATGAAACTCCTTATATCCTTAGGCCGGGCGCGGTGGCTCAAGCCTGTAATCCCAGCACTTTGGGAGGGCGAGGCAGCGGGCAGGATCACGAGGTCCAGGAGATCGAGACCATCCTGGCTAACATGGTGAAACCCCGCTCTCTATTAAAAAAATAGAAAAAACTAGCGGGCGAGGTGGCGGGTGCCTGTAGTCCCAGTTACCTCGGGAGGGCTGAGGCAGGAGAATGGCGAACCCGGGAGGCGGAGCTTGCAGTGAGCCGAGATCGCGCGCCACTGCACTCCGCCTGGGCGACAGAGCGAGACTCCGTCTCAAAAAAAAAAAAAAAAACTTATACTCTGAAAACTACAAAATAGATATTCAACAAAAACTTTTTTTTTTTGCGGCGGAATTTCACTCTTGTTGCCCAAGCTGGAGTGCAATGGTGTGATCTCGGCTCACTGCAACCTCCGCTTCCTGGGTTCAAGTGATTCTCCTGCCTCAGCCTCCTGAGTAGCTGGTACTACAGGCATGAGCCACCACGCCCGGCTAATTTTTGCATTTTTAGTAGAGACGGGGTTTCACTGTGTTAGCCAGGATGGTCTCCATCTCCTGACTTCGTGATCTGCCCACCTCCACCCTCCCAAAGTGCTGGGATTACAGGCATGAGCCACCACGCCCGGCCTCAAACAAAAATTTTTACATGAATGTTCATAGCAGCATTTTAAAAATAATTGTTGGCTGGGCATTTTAAAAATAACTGTTGGCTGGGCATTTTAAAAATAACTGTCAGGAGGCAGAGATTGTGGTGAGCCCAGATAGCACCACTGCACTCCAGCCGGGGCAACAAGAGCAAAACTCCGTCTCAGAAATAATAATAATAATGTCAAAAGGTGGAAACAACCCAAATTTCCATTAATAGAAGAATGGGTAAACAAAATGTGGTCTATTCATCTACAGAAATAGTATTCAGACATAGCAAGGAATGAAGTACTGATTCATGCAACAATTTGGATAAACCTTGAAAACCTTATGCTAAATGAAAGAAGCCAGTAACAAGTCCACATATGTTATTCCATTCATATGAAAGTCCCGAATAGGGAAATCTATAGAGACAGAAAGTAGATTAGTCATTATTTAAGGCTAAGTATGGGGCAAGTGTGGCAGTGGGGAGGCCAGGGAGTGATAGCGTAAGGGAATAGAGGTTCTTTTTGAAGTGATGAAAATATTCTAACATTGACTTGTGGTTGCACGTATTTGTGAATATACTAAGAAGCACTGAAGTGTTGACTGTAAATGGCTTAATTGTATGGTGTGTGAATTACATCTCAATAAAGCTGTTTTGTTTTTGTTTTTTTTTAAATGAATACAGCCAATGTGTTTTGCCACCTTGAATCCCCGTGACATTTTCAGACTTCCTTTTACCACCTCCTTTTGACATTATTCCTGCTCACAGACCCATTCATTGAGGATATGGTCTACTCCCCATGGGAATGGATATTTCTCATTTGTTTTGCTTTGTAGCATCACTGTGCCTTCCACACACATTCCATTCTTTCATTTTCTTTTCACATTTCCAAATAATTTGGAGTCTGTTCATTTTCTTAGTTTCCTGGTGGTTGGGATTTACTTTGATTTTCTTGTTTCTGTCTACCTGGTTTCCAGGAAGAGGAATATCAGGATTAGAACTAGTTCTTGGCTAGACATGGTGGCCTACACCTGTAATTCCAGCACTTTGGGAGGCCAAGGTGGGAGAGTATTTCTTGAGGCCAGGAGTTTGAGACCAGCCTGGGCAACATAGCGAGACCCCGTCTCGACAAAAATAAAATAAATTAGCCAGACAAAGTGGTGCATGCCTGTAGTCCCACCCTATTCAGCAGGCTGAGGTGGAAGGATCACCTGAGCCTAGCAGTTTGCGGCAACAGTAAACTGTGATTGCACCACTGTACTCCGGCATGACTGACAGTTTGAGATGCTGTCACTAAAAATATTTTTTTTCTTTTTTTCAAGACAGGGTTTCGCTTTTGTTGCCCAGGCTGGAGTGCAACCTCTGCCTCCCAGGTTCAAGCGATTCTCCTGCCTCAGCCTCCTGAGTAGCTGGGATTACAGGCATGCGCCACCATGCCCGGCTAATTTTATATTTTTAGGTAAGACAAGGTTTCTCCATGTTGGTCAGCCTGGTCTCGAACTGCCGACCTCAGGTGATCCACCTGCCTTGGCCTCCCACAGTGCTGGGATTACAGGTGTGAGCCACTGTACCCAGCTAAAAAATTTTTTAAAATTATTTTAAAGAACTAGTTTTTTTCTTAAAACTGTGTAATAGTCACTCTCAAGTTCTTCATGTTCTCAAACACAAAATATATTTTAGTTCACAATTTATTCTCCAGCCCTCCACTCTTGGAAAAGTTCTTAAAGTTCTCTATGCCGCTGAAGCTCTCTGTCTCCTAGGACCAATTCATACTACATGCTTTACATGGAATTTTTATGAACTCCTCAGATTGTGTATATCAGTCTTTACCCTCTCACACCAACTTTGTTTTATCTTTAATTAGAAACATTTTTAAACCTTACTTTAAAAATGCAGAATGCTTTCTTATTACTTCTGAAATAACGTCCAAATGCTATAGCCTATTTTTTTAGAGCTTTTCATAACAGGATCCCTGCTTTATACATCCCCACCTGCCACTGGTCTTTCCTCTCATTCTGTGTTCCTCGAATGCACAAAGATACCTTTGCTTGACTGGCACATGTTGTTTCCTCTGCTAGGATATCCCCCTCACCTTGCCCTGTCTTCTCTGGTGAGCCCCTGTGGAGGAGAAGTTAAATATTAAATTTGAACTCAGTTGAACATGGACACAAACAGTGGTCACCAAGTCCCAGGACAGGTTGTGTGAGCCCCTTGAGGCACTCATCCAGCGCTGTTTCAGAGAAATCTCTATTTCAATCTATTCCTATACATTAGTTATTGAAAAACAATAGGCCGGGCGCGGTGGCTCAAGCCTGTAATCCCAGCACTTTGGGAGGCCGAGACGGGCGGATCACGAGGTCAGGAGATCGAGACCATCCTGGCTAACACGGTGAAACCCCGTCTCTACTAAAAATACAAAAAACTAGCCGGGCGAGGTGGCGGGCGCCTGTAGTCCCAGCTACTCGGGAGGCTGAGGCCGGAGAATGGCGTGAACCCAGGAGGCGGAGCTTGCAGTGAGCTGAGATCCGGCCATTGCACTCCAACCTGGGCGGCAGAGCGAGACTTCGCCTCAAAAAAAAAAAAAAAAAAAAAAGAAAAACAATAGACAACCGCAAAAACGACTTGACCTTTTTGTGTTCCTTGAGCCCAGTCGTGAATCAGGGCCCTTGTGACTGGGCCTCATGCCAAACAACTTTTTACAAAAAGAGCTAAGGTCCCAGACTGCGCCAAAGCTTCATGAGACCTCTCCTCATCTGTGCACAGAGGGGTGGCCGACGCTGGAGCCCAGACTGTTGCTTCCCAGTCTGGTGATGAATCCTCCATAGTCTGGTGAGTGTAATGTGTGACCCTGGAGCCCAGGCTGTTGCTTTCCAGTCTGGTGGTGAATCCTTCATAGTTTGGTGAAAATATATATATATATATATATATATGTATGTATATGTATGTGTGTGTGTATATATATGTGTATGTAAGTATATATATATTTTCCCTTCTCCCCTTCCCATTGCAATTTGCTTATTATATCATTTGCTTATTATATCTGCATTGCCATTTACGTGGGATAAAGGTTGTTTACTCTTAAAGGTATTGTGTGTGTTTCTTTTCTTGTCCCCTCGCGCATTTCCCACACAGAACAGCCCGTCAAGAGTCAGCTGAAGTACCATCTCCTACAGGAAACTTTCTCTTAAAAACTAGTTTTGGTTTGGGCTCCTTAGAACTAGTTGGCTCCTTTCATAACCACGATTACCTTTATTTCCTACAGTATTGTAATTGCCTCTTTACTTTTCTGACTGTGAATTCCTTGATAGTTAGTCCTGCAACTTATTTATCTGATTCCCTTTTGCTAAGTGCAAAGCTAGACTCAGAGAGGCTTCAATATATTTCTTTAATAAAAGTCCTTGCTTCACAAAACTGACTGCTCGCCCAACCCAGCCTTCCTTCCATCTTTGCGTTCCTTTCATGAAAAAGTCACCCTGCTGCTCAGTGTCAGTGAAAACATAGGAGGCAGAGATCATGGGCTGCTCCGATAAGGGAAAGGTCCAGCTCATCCTTCACTCAGTAAAATAAAAAATCCTGAAATCCAGAGGTATTCCAAGTGAACAAGCTTTGCATTCAGCAAACCTATGATATTTCCTAATAGTGAATTTGAGCAAGTGACCCATTTCCTGATCTTTTAAATGAGACAAGTAACTGACATTCATAGGTGGCTTGAGGATAAATGTTAATGTATGTATATATGAGTTTAGGGCAAGCCAGAATTGACTTATCTAGTAGTATCCTGATCCCATGTCATGATTTTGGCATAAGTGATTAGACTGAAACTTCATCTTGCTTTTGTTGACTCTCTGGTTTTGGATAGGGCTAGGATTTCTTCAGGTTCCTTCTGACCTACCTCCAAGGAAGAAAATGGCATTCCTGTTTGTCCATTTGAGCGCTCTGAGAAAGGCCTGACCTCGTGATTTTTTCTTTCTAGCTCTGCTTTCCCAGCACACTGCCTCACCAAGAGAAGAATCCAGAGAAGGGCTGGTAGACTTGGAATGTTAAGTCATGGTCCATGTGAGTTGGAATCACCTCTCTCCAAAAATGTAACCCATTTATATCAAATCATGTGAATATTTTTATTGCTTATCCTTAACTGCTTACTTGAATCACTACTGAGCGTCATAAGTAATGACTGTGAAACAGTCCAATGCTTTCCCTAGATATCTCTTTTCTCCAACCAGTATGACCAAATCTATCCACCAGGGCTTTCAGTATCTCCTGTGTCCTAATCTGGCAGAGCACTGAAGAGGAGAAATACATTTCCTTAAGGGGAACAGTAAAGACTTCTCATTTCAAACCCGTAGCTTAACAAGATGGGATGGAACAATTAAAGGGGACATACTACATAAAGGCTTTTATTCACTCTGTAGAATGGGATGTTGTATTTAATCAAGATGGGAGTTGGTATTGGTTGGTATTCATTTAGGTATGTGGCCCTTTGTGATGTTTTCCTTAGCCGATACGATGGGAGGTTGAGTTCAAAGAGATCTGGAATTTTCCAGGAAATTAATGAGAGGTTAATATAATTAACAATCCAGGGTTAGTTATTCCAGGCTGGTATAGCCTCTCAGTGGTGTCAACAAAAAACTCATTTGATGACTTTCACATTATGACACTGAATTTGCTGACTGTCAGCTGCTTAGCAAAGAGCCTGGAGATTCTACACATTGTCCATAGAAAATAATATTCAGGGAGTGTATCTCTTGAGAATTCTCTCAATTTAAACTAATAGAAAATTCAACTAAAAGTAGTAGCTTAAGCAAAGGACAGTTACCTGGGCCAAAGACTGTATGCACAAGTCTGTTTGTGCACAGTAGAGACTCCTTACAACCAACAAAACCCCCTACTTTTCTCACATAATAAATCTGGGCTTCTTCCAGGCTGGTGTAGCCTCTCAGTGGTATCAACAAAAAACTCATATGATGTCTGTTATTCTGGGTTGCCATTCTGATGTTTTGGTATTTGTGATTTGAAGATCATAAAGATGTGGTGACTGAGCAACAGGAGTTTTTACGAGTATGTAGCCAGGTGCAGTGGCTCATTAGGACTCTGGGAGCCGAGGTGGGTGGATCATTTGAGGTCAGGAGTTCAAGACCAGCCTGGCCAACATTGAGAAACCCTGTCTCTACTAAAAATACAAAAAATTAGCCGGGCGCGGTGGTGCGCATATGTAATCCCAGCTGTTAGGGTGGCTGGGGCACAAGAATCACTTAAACCTGGGAGGCAGAGGTTGCAGTGAGTCGAGATTGCACCACTGCACTCCAGTCTGGGTGACAGAGCAAGACGCTGTCTCAAAAAAGAACAAAAAAAACGAGCATGTAGACACTTGGCTTTAGTCACGCTTATTCCCATGTCATTTCCCCTGAAACCACAGGCAGCCAACTCCAGTTTTTTCCCCAGTATATGCCCCACTCCCTGCAGTGCCCCTTTCCAGCCTTTCCCCTTTCATCTAAAGGGGTTATTATTTTTTAAAAGTTCACCATTAATACCTGGACTTGTTCTTTCAATAGCTGATGATGTTCAGGGATGTGGCTGTAGATTTCTGTCAGGAGGAGTGGGAGTGCCTGGACCTGGAACAGAGGGATTTATACAGAGATGTGATGTTGGAGAACTACAGCAACTTGGTCTCACTGGGTAAGATTTGGCATTTACCTTAGAAATTCCTGCTTTCTGTATTGTGATTTTTTTTTTAATTGTCTTTTAAATGTCCAGGGTAACTTCTGACCTTTGTTTTCTGGAAAATGGTTTGTGCTTTGTAAATCTGGCTATAGTTATCATCAGTGGGCACCTCCATCTTTCCCATCCTTTATAACTTATTTTTGCCCTGCCTGTAATTGTTTCTCTTCCTTAGTAACCAAAAAAGTAGTCGCAAATTTTAGAATCTTTACAATGTGGTTCTTTGCTGTTTCTTATCTTCTGGGCAGGTCTTTGCATTTATCAGCCAGAAGTGTTCTCTTTATTGGAGAAAGGGAAAGAGCCCTGGAAGATTTTGAGGGATGAGACAAGAGGACCTTGCCCAGGTGAGTGAGGGCTGAACAGGCACAAGGAGGCCATTGTTGTGGACAACAGCTCAGCTGCATAGTGAGGCAGCAACACCTCTAAAATACTGGTCTGGAATATCCCCTTAAGACCAAAAAATGGGCCAAGTATGGTGGCTCACGCCTGTAATCCTAGCACTTTGGTGGGTTGCCTGAGCTCAGGAGTTTAAGACCAGCCTGGGTAACATGGTGAAACCCCATTTCTACTAAAAAATAAATAAATAAATACAAAAAATGAGCCGGGCATGGCGATGTGTGCCTATAGTCCCAGCTACGTGGGAGGCTGAGGCAGGAGAATTGTGGAACCAGAGAGGCAGAGGTTGCAGTGAGCTGAGATCATGCCACTGCACTCCAGTTTGGTCAACAGAGTAAGACTCTGTCTCGGGATAAAAACAAAAACAAAAACAAAAACTGGCTGGGTGCCGTGGCTCACTCCTGTAATTGCAGCACTTTGGGAGGCTGAGACAGGCAGACCACCTGAGATCAGGAGTTCGAGACCAGCTTGGCCAACACGGTGAAACCCCATCTCTACTAAAAATACAGAAACTAGCCAGTGTGCTGACACACACCTGTAGTCCCAGCTACTCGGGAGGCTGAAGCAGGAGAATTGCTTGAGCCTGGGGGGCAGAGGTCGCAGTTAGCCAAGATTTTTTTGAGACTCCATCTCAAAAAAAAAAAGGTCTGAGGCCTAGATAGAGACAAAACCTTTTCCAAAAGAACTTTCTCTTCACTCCAAACACTGGTCTATTTTTGTGCTCTCATTTTTCACTCATGTAACAAAAGGGTAAGTGCCATTCTTTTCTCCAGTGGCGCTTATTTTATCTATGATTTGGATCAAGTTCCTTCCCATCTCCCTTTTTTGAAATTTAGATTTTCATAAAATTCTTCATTCTGTAAAAAAACAAAACCAAACCAAACATTTTTGACCTCATTTTAAAAATTGTACCCATCCCTTTTGAATTTTTCTCATTTTTCCTAGCTTCTCCTTGATTGTACATTGCCTGCATTTGTTAGTTCATTCTTATTAGTTCATTCTTTCAACCAACATTTATGTATTTGCTCATTTTAGGTTTAACAGAATTAACAAAGAATATATTATCTCTTAAGAAACTTTTTGTTCTCTTCTGTGACTGGAGCATGGCCATACATTTCTGCATACAGGGAACATTAAGAGAAGACCTAATAGACTGCTTAGCTGAAAATTAGAGTAATGGGTGATAACAGTTTCTGGTCACAGTGAGGAGGAAGTGGCAGAAGAACGGTTAGGGCACATGAAGTACAACCAGAAGAACACAGTGTCATAAAAGACAAGCCCAGCCAGGCGCGGTGGCTCATGCCTGTAATCACAGAATTTTAGAAGGTCGAGGCGGGCGAATCACCTGAGGTCGGGAGTTCAAAACCAGCCTGGACAACATGGTGAAACCCCATCCCTACTAAAAATACAAAAATTAGCTGGGCATGGTGGTGGGCACCTGTAATCCCAGCTACTTGGGAGGCTGAGGCAGGAGAATCGCTTGAACCCAGGAGGTGGAGGTTGCAGTGAGCTGAGATTGCGCCACTGCACTCCAACCTGGAGTGCAGTGACAGAGTGAGGCTCCATCTCAAAAAAAAAAAAAAAAAGACAAACTCTGACTTGTCTAGTTCCCCATATTCCCCAGCTTTTCCTCTAATCATAATCATCATCTACTGATTATTCAACACTTATCCTGTGTCAGGCACTTAATAGAAATAGCATATTATTCCCAATCCTTGCAACAAACCTCTGCAAAGTGATGATTTATTCCTTTTTATGATATGAAAAATTAAGAGCTCAGTCAAGCTCAGTAATTTTCCAATCACCTAAAAAGTAGTTTTAGTAAAGAGAACTGGAGTCTGAAACTGCAGTTTGTCGTCTTTCCATTGCAGTACATTACTGCTCATACTTCATAACTAAACTGCCTTTCAATTCATTGAGTCACTGCTAGAGTACTTGCTCTGTCCCCCAAGAAAAACTGAAAACAATAGTACTTGATCCTAAATATATATTTAAAAAAATGAGTCACGGAAGAGTCCTACTTATTCTCAGCTTTTGCCTGACTCCTTTCCCCTTGAAAAAAATTCTCAAACTAATTTTTTGTTGTTGTTTCACTCTGTCACCCATGCTCGAGTGCAGTCGTGTGATGATGGCTCCCTGCAACCTCAACCTTCTAGGCTCAGGTGATCCTGCCACCTCAGCCTTCTAGGTAGCTAGGACCACAGGCATGCACCACCATTCTTGGCTGCTTTTTTATAGAGATGGGGTTTTGCCATGTTGCCTAGGCTGGTCTCGAACTTCTAAGCTCAAGCAATCTGCCTCAGCCTTCCCAAGTGCTGGGATTACAGGTGTGAATCACTGTACCTGGCTTCAAACTATTTTTCTGTCTAAACTATCACCTATAATTATCTCCTTTAACCTAAATGCAGCATACCCTGGTATTGAGATCCTAGTTTGGTAACTCTGGATCAGATTGCTTCCCTCATATTGGACTGATACTCTGCCATTTCCCAGCATTCCTGTTTTTAAGCTCTGAATTATATAAGACATTCACCATAGTACTTGCAAACTTGTAGATATTTTATGACTTATTATTCTATTATTGAGGTGATACCTGGATAATCATTTTTTATTGAGCTCCTCAGATGAATATGATCAAAATAAAATATACTTGTCATCACTTGACTCAACTTACATTATTTCTTTTAAATTTCTACTTATTTCTTGCCCTTTTTTTCATATTGCTCATATTTGAGAATTTTTTAAGCCATTCACTTCTCATATGCTTTATTTCAATATTTTCTACATCTATTTTAGAAGTTTTATTGCTTTTTGTACATAAAACAGTATGATGTTTTTATCTTATTTTTCAGACATGCAGTCCAGGTGTCAGACCAAGAAGTTATTACCAAAAAATGGCATTTGTGAGAGAGAAATAGCCCAACTGGAAACAATGAAAATTTGTAAAAACCACAGCCTTGAATGTTTATGTTTTAGAGGTGATTGGGAAGGCAATGTTCAGTTTCAAACACTACAAGATAATCAAGAGGAATGTTTCAAGCAGGTGATACTCACCTGTGAAAAAAGGCCCACTTTTAACCAGCACACAGCCTTTAATCTACACCAGAGACTTAACACAGGAGACAAACTGAATGAATTTAAAGAATTGGGGAAAGCCTTTATTTCTGGCTCAGATCATACTCAACATCAGTTAATTCACACACTTGAGAAATTCTGTGAAGATAAAGAATGTGGGAATACCTTTCTTCCTGATTCAGAAGTTACTCAACATCAGACAGTTCACACTGTTAAGAAAACATATGAATGTAAAGAATGTGGGAAGTCTTTTAGTTTACGTTCAAGTCTTACTGGTCATAAGAGAATTCATACTGGTGAGAAACCTTTTAAATGTAAGGAATGTGGGAAAGCCTTTAGATTTCATTCACAACTTAGTGTCCATAAGCGAATTCATACTGGTGAGAAATCTTATGAATGTAAGGAATGTGGGAAGGCCTTTAGTTGTGGCTCAGATCTTACTCGACATCAGAGAATTCATACTGGTGAAAAACCCTATGAATGTAATGAATGTAGAAAGGCCTTTAGTCAGCGATCACATCTTATTAAACATCAGAGAATTCACACTGGTGAAAAACCTTATGAATGTCAGGAGTGTGGGAAAGCTTTTACTCGTGGATCACACCTAACTCAGCATCAGAGAATTCATACAGGTGAGAAATCTCATGAGTGCAAGGAATGTGGAAAAGCCTTTATTCGTGGTTCAAATCTTGCTCAACATCAGAATGTTCACGTTGGTAGGAAACCTTATGAATGTGAGAAATGTGGGAAAGCCTATATTTGGAGCTCACACCTTGCTCGACATCAGCGGATTCATACTGGCAGGAAACCTTATGAATGTAAGCAGTGTGGGAAGACTTTTGCTTGGCCTTCGTATCTTGCTCAACATGAGAAAATTCATAATGAGAGGAAATCCTATGAATGTAAGGATTGTGGAAAGACCTTTCTTCATGGCTCAGAGTTTAATCGACATCAGAAAATTCATACTGGTGAAAGAGACTATGAATGCAAGGAATGTGGGAAGACCTTTTTTCGTGGTTCAGAACTTAATCGACATCAGAAAATTCATACTGGAAAGAGGCCATATGAATGTGAAGAATGTGGAAAAGCCTTTCTCTGGGGTTCACAACTTACTCGACATCAGAGAATGCATACTGGTGAGGAACCTTATATATGTAAAGAATGTGGGAAATCTTTTATCTGGGGTTCACAGCTTACACGACATAAGAGAATTCATACTGATGCAGAACCTTATGGATGCAAGAAAAGTAGCCACATCTTTAGTCACCATTCATATTTTACTGAACAAAAAATTCATAATGGTGCAAATCTCTGTGAATGGACAGACTATGGGAACTCCTTTAGTCATGAGTCAAGCTTTGCTCAACACCAGAATATTTACACTTTTGAGAAATCCTATGAATTTAAAGATTTTGAGAAAGCA